TAAATGTTAAGATAATTTAATGATGCTCATGAATAAGCTATGGTAATTTATAAACAGACAAATATTTTTAAAACCACTGGGAAGATGACAGCAGATGGTATGTTTACACTAGCAGTTACCTGACACTGGGAAGATGACAGCAGATGGTATGTTTACACTAGCAGTTACCTGACACTGTGAAGATGACAGCAGATGGTATGTTTACACTAGCAGTTACCTGACACTGGGAAGATGACAGTAGATGGTATGTTTACACTAGCAGTTACCTGACACTGGGAAGATGACAGCAGATGGTATGTTTACACTAGCAGTTACCTGACACTGGGAAGATGACAGCAGATGGTATGTTTACACTAGCAGTTGTTAGGTTAGACACATATGCAACAGTTAGACAACTTTATTCCGAAGCGTTTCGCCTACACAGTAGGCTTCTTCAGTCGAATACAGAAAGTAGGCAGGAACAGTAGAGATGTGAAGACGATGTAATCAGTCCATCACCCTTAAAGTCGTAGAATTTGAGGTTGTCAGTCCCACAGCCTGGAGAAGTTCAGTTTCACTGTTGCATATGTGTCTAACCTAACAACCTGTCGGTATTGTATACCATTTTGATGTTCACACTAGCAGTTACCTGACACTGGGAGGATGACAGCAGATGGAATGTTACCTGACACTGGGAAGATGGCAGCAGCTGGTATGTTTACACTAGCAATTACCTGACACTGGAAAGATGGCAGCAGCTGGTATGTTTACTCTAGCAGTTACCTGACACTGTTAGTGCTGACAAGTAACAAGAGTATTAATTATATCACTAATGAGTCTATTATAGCTGACATCAGTGGTATAATAGAGGGACAAGTGGTGTATATCGTCGTATAATAGTGGAACAAGTGGTATATATCGTGGTATGATAGAGGAACAATGGTGTATGGTGGTATAGCGGGAGAGATCAGTAGTAGCGAATGTGGAGATCTCTGTGGGAAGGCGACATGTGGTGTACTAGTCACATGTGGTGTACTAGTCACATGTGGTGTACTAGTCACATGTGGTGTACTAGTCACATGTGGTGTACTAGTCACATGTGGTGTACTAGTCCCCAGATGGTGTACTAGTCACATGTGGTGTACTAGTCACATGTGGTGTACTAGTCACATGTGGTGTACTAGTCACATGTGGTGTACTAGTCACATGTGGTGTACTAGTCACAGGTGGTGTACTAGTCACATGTGGTGTACTAGTCACATGTGGTGTACTAGTCACATGTGGTGTACTAGTCCACATGTGGTGTACTAGTCACATGTGGTGTACTAGTCACAGGTGGTGTACTAGTCACATGTGGTGTACTAGTCACATGTGGTGTACTAGTCACATGTGGTGTACTAGTCACATGTGGTGTACTAGTCACATGTGGTGTACTAGTCACAGGTGGTGTACTAGTCACATGTGGTGTACTAGTCACATGTGGTGTACTAGTCACATGTGGTGTACTAGTCACATGTGGTGTACTAGTCACATGTGGTGTACCAGTCACATGTGGTGTACCAGTCACATGTGGTGTACTAGTCACATGTGGTGTACTAGTCACATGTGGTGTACTAGTCACATGTGGTGTACTAGTCACAGGTGGTGTACTAGTCACATGTGGTGTACTAGTCACAGGTGGTGTACTAGTCACATGTGGTGTACTAGTCACATGTGGTGTACTAGTCACATGTGGTGTACTAGTCACAGGTGGTGTACTAGTCACATGTGGTGTACTAGTCACAGGTGGTGTACTAGTCACAGGTGGTGTACTAGTCACATGTGGTGTACTAGTCACATGTGGTGTACTAGTCACATGTGGTGTACTAGTCACATGTGGTGTACTAGTCACATGTGGTGTACTAGTCACATGTGGTGTACTAGTCACATGTGGTGTACTAGTCACATGTGGTGTACTAGTCACAGGTGGTGTACTAGTCACATGTGGTGTACTAGTCACATGTGGTGTACTAGTCACATGTGGTGTACTAGTCACATGTGGTGTACTAGTCACATGTGGTGTACTAGTCACATGTGGTGTACTAGTCACATGTGGTGTACTAGTCACAGGTGGTGTACTAGTCACATGTGGTGTACTAGTCACAGGTGGTGTACTAGTCACATGTGGTGTACTATGTCACATGTGGTGTACTAGTCACATGTGGTGTACTAGTCACAGGTGGTGTACTAGTCACATGTGGTGTACTAGTCACATGTGGTGTACTAGTCACATGTGGTGTACTAGTCACATGTGGTGTACTAGTCACATGTGGTGTACTAGTCACAGGTGGTGTACTAGTCACTGTGGTGTACTAGTCACAGGTGGTGTACTAGTCACATGTGGTGTACTAGTCACATGTGGTGTACTAGTCACATGTGGTGTACTAGTCACAGGTGGTGTACTAGTCACATGTGGTGTACTAGTCACATGTGGTGTACTAGTCACATGTGGTGTACTAGTCACATGTGGTGTACTAGTCACATGTGGTGTACTAGTCACATGTGGTGTACTAGTCACATGTGGTGTACTAGTCACAGGTGGTGTACTAGTCACATGTGGTGTACTAGTCACATGCGGTGTACTAGTCACATGTGGTGTACTAGTCACATATATTACACACTGATAACATGAAGGAAGACACCACGGTGGATTCTCTGTCTTAAAAAAAATACGAATGATTTCAGCTGTCTTAATGATGATGAAGGTCAGTCCTCATTTGCGTTGACAGCACCAGCGCCAGTAGGTGGCTTGACAGCACCAGCGTCAGTAGGTGGCTTGACAGCACCAGCGTCAGTAGGTGGCTTGACAGCACCAGCGTCAGTAGGTGGCTTGACAGCACCAGCGTCAGTAGGTGGCTTGACAGCACCAGCGTCAGTAGGTGGCTTGACAGCACCAGCGCCAGTAGGTGGGTTGACAGCACCAGCGTCCAGTAGGTGGCTTGACAGCACCAGCGTCAGTAGGTGGCTTGACAGCACCAGCGCCAGTAGGTGGCTTGACAGCACCAGCGACAGTAGGTGGCTTGACAGCACCAGCGTCCAGTAGGTGGCTTACAGCACCAGCGCCAGTAGGTGGCTTGACAGCACCAGCGTCAGTAGGTGGCTTGACAGCACCAGCGCCAGTAGGTGGCTTGACAGCACCAGCGTCAGTAGGTGGCTTGACAGCACCAGCGTCAGTAATTGGCTTGACAGCACCAGCGCCAGTAGGTGGCTTGACAGCACCAGCGTCAGTAGGTGGCTTGACAGCACCAGCGCCAGTAGGTGGCTTGACAGCACCAGCGTCAGTAGGTGGCTTGACAGCACCAGCGCCAGTAGGTGGCTTGAAAGCACCAGCGCCAGTAGGTGGCTTGACAGCACCAGCGTCAGTAGGTGGCTTGACAGCACCAGCGTCAGTAGGTGGCTTGACAGCACCAGCGCCAGTAGGTGGCTTGGGCAGCACCAGCGCCAGTAGGTGGCTTGACAGCACCAGCGTCAGTAGGTGGCTTGACAGCACCAGCGCCAGTAGGTGGCTTGACAGCACCAGCGCTAGTAGGTGGCTTGAAAGCACAAGCGCCAGTAGGTGGCTTGACAGCACCACACGCCAGTATATGGCTTGACAGCACCACACGCCAGTAGGTGGCTTGAAAGCACCAGCGCCAGTAGGTGGCTTGACAGCACCACACGCCAGTAGGTGGCTTGAAAGCACCAGCGCCAGTAGGTGGCTTGACAGCACCACACGCCAGTAGGTGGCTTGACAGCACCACACGCCAGTAGGTGGCTTGAAAGCACCAGCGCCAGTAGGTGGCTTGACAGCACCAGCGCCAGTAGGTGGCTTGACAGCACCAGCGCCAGTAGGTGGCTTAACAGCACCACACGCCAGTAGGTGGCTTGACAGCACCACACGCCAGTAGGTGGCTTGACAGCACCAGCGCCAGTATGTGGCTTGACAGCACCAGCGCCAGTAGGTGGCTTGACAGCACCAGCGCCAGTAGGTGGCTTGACAGCACCAGCGCCACTAGGTGGCTTGACAGCACCAGCGCCAGTATGTGGTTTGACAGCACCAGCGCCAGTAGGTGGCTTGACAGCACCAGCGCCAGTAGGTGGCTTGACAGCACCAGCGCCACTAGGTGGCTTGACAGCACCAGCGCCAGTAGGTGGCTTGACAGCACCAGCGCCAGTAGGTGGCTTGACAGCACCACACGCCAGTAGGTGGCTTGACAGCACCAACGCCAGTATGTGGCTTACTGAACTCACAGACTGTCAAGGAGAGTTTACTGAAGGAAACAAAGACATACAAGATCTTCTTTCACATATTAAAATCTTCCAACTTTTTCTAACGTAATTCAAGTATTTATCTCTCTCTCTCTCTCTCTGCTGTCTCTCTCTCTCTCTCTCTCTCTCTCTCTCTGTCTATCTGTCTGTCTGTCTGTCTGTCTCTCTCTCTCTCTCTTTCTCTCTCTCTTCTCTCTCTCTCTCTCTCTCTCTCTGTCTATCTGTCTGTCTGTCTGTCTCTCTCTCTCACTTTCTCTCTCTCTCTCTCTCTCTCTCTCAGGCTCCTTATTTCCCCTCCTTTTTCAACATTTATTTAAAGAATATTTCTTTATTAAATATTTTTAATTTCTGATATTTGCGTCTGGTTGTTTGTTCCCAGATGCAGCACTTTTGGTATCTTGTCTTTTTTTTGCTGAAATGTTTCTCCTGCTCAGCAGGCTTCTTCAGTCGAAACATTTCTGTAATAGAGACCCAAGAGCTGTACACATGTGTCTTAGTGGTAAACTTTACGTTATTGTACAGCATCAACATGAAAGAAGAGGCACATCATACACCTGTCTGATAAGTAAGACACGTGTACCACACTTAGTTATTCTTATTTCGAAATGTGTTTCGCCTACACAGCAGGATTCTTCAGTCAAACACAGAGGAGGTAGCAAAAAAAACGAAAGATGACTTATCAATTTGTGGTACTGTATATCATTATTATATTCACATCCGCCTATATAATACAACACTGACAAGCTGTCTTGCTTCAGATTAGATCACCTCGTCACACCAGCTGCATCTTCCTCTCCTCTGATATGAGGACCTCATTCAGTCTCCTCGTGGCTCTTCTGTTCATTCTGAATGGTGATGGAGGTAGTACGGCAGAGGTCACGCCTGTAACGATGCCAAAGCGGCCGTGTCCCATACCTGATGATATCCAGCCTTGCGTGTGCGTGTTTGATGAAGATTTGTACCAGCTAGATCTTGATTGCTCAGCTGTACTGGACGAAGATGACCTATATAAAGTGTTCCAGGCTACCTTTCCCTTTAAGGTATTCCGAAAATTCACCATTTACGAGAACAGCCACCTAAACTTTCTTCCATCTGACGTCTTCGGGGAGGTACAGTTCGAGGAGATCTCCATCACCAAGGGAGTGTTAAATGAGGTGCAGAACGAAACCTTCGCCAGTAGTTACTTGACGGCAGTGACCATCGACCTTTCGTCAAACCACATCGAGTACTTTCCATTCCACGAAGTATCCAGCTTCACCTTGCTGGAGACCCTCAACATCGGCTTCAACAACCTGACGTCCATCTCTCCGATGACATCTCCAACCCTAAAATTATTATATCTCAATCACAACACCCTTTACCATATCGCCGCTAACACCTTCGTGGAACTGCCCAGTGTTCAGGAGATTCACTTGGCTGGCACGCAACTCCAGGAGCTAAAACCCGGTAATGATTATTCAGTGATTAGTTAAATATGTTCTCCTCTACGCATACACACACACACACGTATGACCGGGAAGCAAACACACCTTGATTAAATATAAAGCACGTGTATGTAGACATCGTGGCTTCCAGCGTGACTGAGTCACTAGTGACAATTTACACGCTAAGGGGCAGGAATCGAGTTTTCCAGTGTCACAACAAGACACTAAATTATTAAAAAAAAAGAGTCAGTCGTTTATTCCAAGAGAAGAGACGAAACATTATCAGATTTATCCGCCTAGAAGACATTATCCAACATTATTTATACAAGACAGAGTTATGAAACACACTCAACAGGTGGCCCGGTGGTCTGGTGGCTAAAGCTCCCGCTTCACACACGGAGGGCCCGGGTTCGATTCCCGGCGGGTGGAAATTCCGACACGTTTCCTTACACCTATTGTCCTGTTCACCTAGCAGCAAATAGGTACCTGGGTGTTAGTCGACTGGTGTGGGTCGCATCCTGGGGGACAAGATTAAGGACCCCAATGGAAATAAGTTAGACAGTCCTCGATGACGCACTGACTTTCTTGGGTTATCCTGGGTGGCTAACCCTCCGGGGTTAAAAATCCGAACGAAATCTTATCTTATCTTATCTTAACATACCTGTAACACACAACACTACCTTAGGCTTCAGCTACTGGTGCACCTCCCAGCCTTCCACACTTTAAGTCTTCACCATATAATTTGTACTGTGTCCAGGTGCCTTTACTGACTTGTAAAAACCTCTTGCAGAGGTAAAATATTGTCCTTAATTACCTAAAATTAAACTTGGTCTTTTCCATAGAGTTTATCAGTGTATTGTGTGGTTAATTTTGACTGATGTCTAATAGCTAAAATTAAGAAATTGTATTAACCCACAACATTCAATTTTCGGCCGGGTGGAAACACTGGGTATGTTTCCTTACACCTGCTGTCCATGGTCACCTAGCAAGCAAGTAGGTACCTTAGTGTTAGCCATCTTACACCTACTATCCCCGTTCACCTAGCAAGCAAGTAGGTACCTTAGTGTTAGTCAACTTACACTTACTATCCCCGTTCACCTAGCAAACAAGTAGGTACCTTAGTGTTAGCCATCTTACACTTACTATCCCAGTTCACCTAGCAAGCAAATAGGTACCTGTGAGAACTGGTGTGGGTGGCATCCTGGGGGACAAGATTGAAGGACCACTATGGAAATAAGACAGTCAGTCCTCTATGATGCACTGACTTTCTTGCGTTATCCTGGGTGGCTAACCCTCCAGGGTTAAAAATCAGAGAACACTCTTATCTTATATTATATTATCTTGATAAATGCGATAATGCATACAGGCGATAAAAATCTTTTAAAGTATGAACAAAAAAATGGGGAGCCAGCGAGCGAACATTGTAACAGTAACTTCCTAAGTCTTCTCTTCCACAGTAACATCAACAAATGTTACAACTTCTCACAAATTACCAAATTACGATTGTTTAGGTTAGTTTAGGTGAAGTTTTTAAGTTAGTTTTGATCCAAAAATATAAATCTTTATTATTATTATTATAATCAAGGGGGAAGCGCTAAACCCGGAGGATTATACAGCGCCTGGGGGGGGGGATGTGGAAGGCATTCAGGCTTAATTCGGGGAACTGGAGCACAGATCCAATTCCCTAAATCAAGAGCCCCTCACCAACATCAAGGAACCTTCCTTGAGGGGTATAAATCTTTAAATCTTTGCCAATGAAAAAAAATTAACTATCATTATGCAAAATATTTTTTTAAAGGTTAATTTTTAAGGATGTTGGGCCTCTTCGACAAGTTCGGAAGTTCTTGGATTTTCTTGCAGAAACCTTCACTGGTCTACAGATGTTGACGGTGATCAACATGGAAACTAACAAGCTGAGGAACCTGGCTGGAGGAACCTTCAACCTCAGCAGTGTACAGGCAGCTGTCTCCATTGATCTTACCAATAACTTAATTAACACTGTCAACATCGGTGCCTTCACTGGTCAGCACTGTTGTGTGAGGTGTTGTAGAGTTGTAGTGGTGGTGTGGTAGTGGTGGTGTTGTAGAGTTGTAGTGGTGGTGGTGTGGTGGTGGTGGTGTTGTAGTGGGGGTGTGGTAGTGGTGGTGTGGTAATAGTGGTGTTGATGGTGGTGTTGATGGTGGTGTTGTAGTAGTGGTGTTGTAGTGGTGGTGTTGTAGTGATGGTGTTGTAGTGGTGGTGTTGTAGTGGTGGTGTTATAGTGGTGGTGTTGTAGTGGTGGTGTTGTAGTGGTGGTGTTGTAGTGGTGGTGTTGTAGTGGTAGTGTTGTAGTGGTGGTGTTGATGGTGGTGTTATAGTGGTGGTGTTGTAGTGGTGGTGTTGTAGTGGTGGTGTTGTAGTGGTGGTGTTGTAGTTGTGGTGTTGTAGTGGTGGTGTTGTTAGGGAGCACAAAAATAGTGTTAGGCTTGCCGACACTAACAATGCTCTTTTCTGTCACGTCAGAGATCATAGCCATCCTATTGACTGGTCTTCTGCTAAAACTGTCTTCCCTACTTCCAACTCGAACAGTCGCCGTTTAGTTGAATCCTCTCTAATACACAACTTTCCTTGTATGAACCTTAGCCCTGGCTTCGTCTCTGTAGATGCCTTCCTCTCCCACTACATTGTAAAATGTTCCAAACTACAGAACACCCGTGACTTAACCTGAATCCTCATTTTTTCTTCTTCTTCTTCTTCTTCTTCTTCTTCTTCTTCTTCTTCTTCTTCTTCTTCTTCTTCTTCTTCTTCTTCTTCTTTTTCTTCTTCCTCTTCCCCTTTCCTCTCTCCTTTTCTCCTCTGGGTTGTCTTTCTCTCTCCTGTCTCGTGTTTCTGTTCCTTCTTTATTTTATTTCACCACTTCCCCTTTCACGCACCTCTGTGCGCTTGCTCTCCCTCTGTGGGTTTCTAGCTCTCTTGCAGTGCTCCCCTTCCTTTGTATTTGACTGGCTCGTCTTCCTTATTTCCCACTTCTACCACTACCACTACTACTACCTCTTCTTCTTCTACTACAACTACTGATGAAATTAAGACACATGTGCGGCGTCTGGTTGTCTTTGTTGTGGACGTTTCGCCATCCAGTGGCTGGCTGGATGGCGAAACGTCTACGGTGGGGATGCCCGGGTGTTGTGCATGTGTCATTTCATCCTGTCGGTATTATATACAATTCTTGTACTACTACTACTACTACTACTACTACCTCCACCTCTTCCTGCCTATATATAGCCGTCCTGCTCCACCTCTGTTAGTGTGACTTTGTCAATGGTCCAAGTCGGACCGAAACGTTGTCGTAAGCTTCTCTCTTTTATGTGCGGGTTATTTGTGTATCGTTCCAGTCACGGTATTGTGCCTTTTTGTTATTTACTGGGCACGGTCATCACTCAACAACACTGGACAGTCATCACTCAAGAACACTGGACACAGTCATTATTCAACACTAGAAACAATCATCACTCAACAACACTGGACACAGTCATCAGTCAACACTGGACACAGTCATCACTCAACACTGGACACAGTCATCACTCAACACTGGACACAGTCATCACTCAACACTGGACACAGTCATCACTCAACACTGGACACAGTCATCAGTCAACACTGGACACAGTCATCACTCAACACTGGACACAGTCATCACTCAACACTGGACACAGTCATCAGTCAACACTGGACACAGTCATCACTCAACACTGGACACAGTCATCACTCAACACTGGACACAGTCATCACTCAACACTGGACACAGTCATCACTCAACACTGGACACAGTCATCACTCAACACTGGACACAGTCATCAGTCAACACTGGACACAGTCATCACTCAACACTGGACACAGTCATCACTCAACACTGGACACAGTCATCAGTCAACACTGGACACAGTCATCACTCAACACTGGACACAGTCATCACTCAACACTGGACACAGTCATCACTCAACACTGGACACAGTCATCACTCAACACTGGACACAGTCATCACTCAACACTGGACACAGTCATCAGTCAACACTGGACACAGTCATCACTCAACACTGGACACAGTCATCACTCAACACTGGACACAGTCATCAGTCAACACTGGACACAGTCATCACTCAACACTGGACACAGTCATCACTCAACACTGGACACAGTCATCACTCAACACTGGACACAGTCATCAGTCAACACTGGACACAGTCATCAGTCAACACTGGACACAGTCATCACTCAACACTGGACACAGTCATCACTCAACACTGGACACAGTCATCACTCAACACTGGACACAGTCATCAGTCAACACTGGACACAGTCATCACTCAACACTGGACACAGTCATCACTCAACACTGGACACAGTCATCACTCAACACTGGACACAGTCACCACTCAACACTGGACACAGTCATCACTCAACACTGGACACAGTCACCACTCAACACTGGACACAGTCACCACTCAACACTGGACACAGTCATCACTCAACACTGGACACAGTCATCACTCAACACTGGACACAGTCATCACTCAACACTGGACACAGTCATCACTCAACACTGGACACAGTCATCACTCAACACTGGACACAGTCATCACTCAACACTGGACACAGTCACCACTCAACACTGGACACAGTCATCACTCAACACTGGACACAGTCACCACTCAACACTGGACACAGTCACCACTCAACACTGGACACAGTCATCACTCAACACTGGACACAGTCATCACTCAACACTGGACACAGTCATCACTCAACACTGGACACAGTCATCACTCAACACTGGACACAGTCATCACTCAACACTGGACACAGTCACCACTCAACACTGGACACAGTCACCACTCAACACTGGACACAGTCATCACTCAACACTGGACACAGTCACCACTCAACACTGGAGACAGTCATCACTCAACACTGGACACAGTCACCACTCAACACTGGACACAGTCATCACTCAACACTGGACACAGTCATCACTCAACACTGGACACAGTCACCACTCAACACTGGACACAGTCATCACTCAACACTGGACACAGTCACCACTCAACACTGGACACAGTCACCACTCAACACTGGACACAGTCATCACTCAACACTGGACACAGTCACCACTCAACACTGGACACAGTCACCACTCAACACTGGACACAGTCATCACTCAACACTGGACACAGTCATCACTCAACACTGGACACAGTCATCACTCAACACTGGACACAGTCATCACTCAACACTGGACACAGTCATCACTCAACACTGGACACAGTCACCACTCAACACTGGACACAGTCACCACTCAACACTGGACACAGTCATCACTCAACACTGGACACAGTCACCACTCAACACTGGACACAGTCATCACTCAACACTGGACACAGTCATCACTCAACACTGGACACAGTCACCACTCAACACTGGACACAGTCATCACTCAACACTGGACACAGTCATCACTCAACACTGGACACAGTCATCACTCAACACTGGACACAGTCATCACTCAACACTGGTCACAGTCACCACTCAACACTGGACACAGTCATCACTCAACACTGGACACAGTCATCACTCAACACTGGACACAGTCATCACTCAACACTGGACACAGTCATCACTCAACACTGGACACAGTCATCACTCAACACTGGACACAGTCACCACTCAACACTGGACACAGTCATCACTCAACACTGGACACAGTCATCACTCAACACTGGACACAGTCATCACTCAACACTGGACACAGTCACCACTCAACACTGGACACAGTCACCACTCAACACTGGACACAGTCATCACTCAACACTGGACACAGTCATCACTCAACACTGGACACAGTCATCACTCAACACTGGACACAGTCATCACTCAACACTGGACACAGTCATCACTCAACACTGGACACAGTCATCACTCAACACTGGACACAGTCATCACTCAACACTGGACACAGTCATCACTCAACACTGGACACAGTCACCACTCAACACTGGACACAGTCATCACTCAACACTGGACACAGTCATCACTCAACACTGGACACAGTCATCACTCAACACTGGACACAGTCATCACTCAACACTGGACACAGTCATCACTCAACACTGGACACAGTCATCACTCAACACTGGACACAGTCATCACTCAACACTGGACACAGTCATCACTCAACACTGGACACAGTCATCACTCAACACTGGACACAGTCATCACTCAACATCACCCCAATATTCAAAACATCGTGTATAATCCATTACATATTTCCCGTACACTTCACTTCTCTTAACATTCCTGCCTTATATTATGTATCATATTATCTGCTGTTATCAGCAGTTCTTGTAATAATTTCTGTGCTGTATTTTGGCTCCTTCAGTCACTGTAATTTTCTTATCACGTCCACTGTCAGGTCTGGCTGAAGACTCTGTTATCATTCTCTATCTGAACGAGGTGTCCCTGTTGGAGGAGGAGGTGTGGAGACCCGTCTTGGAAAACAATGTCACGGTGGTTCTGACAGGTCAGTTTTCTTTACCTCATCTCACCCAGACACTTGTATAATCTTAATATATGTGCAGTTGTTGAAGATAAATTCCCTAGGCAGCTTTACGAATGAGTTTGACGTATAAAAGGGGTTAAAATTATTGGATTTGAGAATGACGTGTTAACTATGGGCCAGTAGACCTCTTGCAGTTAGGTTAGGTAAGGTTCGTCAGGGAACAGGACAAGTTTTTCCTGACGAGGGTCTTAGTCATATTATGACCCACAGCTGGAGCTTTTAGTCATCTGACTGAGGCCTTCCACTGGCTTACCCCTCCACCCCTTTAAAAATTAGGGTTACAAGTTGCACAGTAGTGTTCCTCCAATAGGGAGGACACAGATGCATACACTTACGACATTTTTTGGATTGAAATAGATCAAACAAAGATGTCCTGAATGTATGCACTTGTCTTCTCACATCTTCATTGCCTTATATTAAAGTCATTGTTTGTCAATAAATACATATCTTCTCACTGTTTCATTTTTCATTTTTTTATTTTGGTTGTTCTTGTGCTAAGTTTCTCTAATAACTTACTGTCTATTGACTAAAAAAATATTTCCAGCGAGATTTGGGGAATCATGTGAATGTTTATGGCACTTTAATACACACTGTTGACATCCGGCTATGTGCAGCCTCCTCACTCTCCCATCTTCCCCTCAGAACTCCCTTATATGAAGATGTTGTCACTAACGCATCTGAAATCCATACATACAACCATTCTTTGAAATAAACAGTAAATTCATGACATTCATGTCATCTGTACGTACATTATCTGCCTCTTAACACTCCATGATTATTACTACTCGCCAAGATTGCTACTCAATTGACCTTCGCAGGTAACCCGCTAGATTGTGGTTGTGACCTGGAGTGGGTTGTGCTGAACCAGAGCCGCTGGCTTCCTTACCTCTATGGTGCGATATGCTACGATGGTATCACACTGCAAGAACTGGATCCAACATTTTACATCAATTACTGCTGATTCCCGTGTAGTTGACTGGTTAATGGGGGAATCTACGGCCATTCTACTACACGAGGGTTATTAAAGCAGCATTTCACCTGCTTATCACCAGTTAAGAATACTTTAATGCCCAGAATATCTAATGCAGTAAACTCTCAATATTATACACTGGTATACATAAACATTGTGTATATAATGTATTTATTGCATTGTATTAAACATTTTACTTACTTTTATTAAAGTTTGTAATATATTTAAGATATTTTCACTGTGAACAATGAGAAGATAGTATTAGAGATGATCCTGAGAGATAACTAGAAGTGCTTTTTACTTGACACTAAAACATAATCATACACAGGTTTGATATTTCCTAATAATGAAGGAAAACGACGTTTCGCCCATCAATAACGTGTAAAGTACATACATCTGCGCAGACCTGTACTTATGACACGCTTGTCTCACGGGGATTAATTATATCCTAACTGTAATGTGAAGCTGGATAAATATTCTAGCAATAACGTAAAATTAGCTGTATTCTATTTACACATTAAATATCTGAAATAAAGAATAAGTTAATCGACTTTATTTTACGTAATGCTTTTATTATTTGTAGTATTATGATAATAATGTCTTAGCTTATGTAAAGCAGGAGCGATGCAGTCTTAATGTAATCTTAACAATGTAATCTTAATAAAAGGAATCTGAACTGCTTTGATTTTTCTGGTGAAACTACGAAAACGTTATTGGGATCAGTAACCCGGTGGACTAATAACCCAGGATAAGCCCCCAGAAAACCCAGGAATCTGGCTTATTTCATAGGACCTTCCTCAACACCTCCACCACCCCTGACACAACACACAGCTGACACAGCTGACACCGCAGATACAGCTGACACAGCTGAAACATCATACACAGCTGACACAGCTGAAACATCATACACAGCTGACACAGCTGAAACATCATACACAGCTGACACAGCAGACACAGCTGACACAACACACACAGCTGACACAGCTAACACCGCAGACGCAGCTGACACACAACACACACAGATGACATAGCAGACACAGCTGACACAGCACACAGCTGACACCGCACATACAGCTGACACTGCAGACACAGCTGACACAGCTGAAACACCATACATAGCTGACACAGCAGACACAGCTGACACAGCTGACACAGCTGACGCAGCTGACACAGCAGACACAGCAGACACAGCTGACACAGCTGACACAGCTGCCTCATCTGCCACAATTTCATTGAACTTCATCACAAATTAACCACTTAATTAAACTAGAATTTGCAAAAACTAGTTTTCAACGACCGTTAACGACACTCAAGTTCTTCAATAACTGAGAATCAATAATAATAATAATAATAATAATAATAATAATAATAATAATAACAATAATAATAATAATAATAATATTATTATTATTATTATTATTATTATTATTATTATTATTATTATTATTATTATTATTATTATTATTATTATTATTATTATTATTATTATTATTATTATTATATTATTGTAGTTTTAAGAGAACTTAACAATTTACAGAGAGGTACTGTGAACATCACACAACATTACGAGTGCTTATCAACATTCACTGCAACTAGTTGATAAGCGTGGGAGAGACTGCGAGTGGGGGAGTACACAGAGTACATGGGAGTACACAGAGTGCATGGCAGTACACAGAGTACATGGGAGTACACAGGGTACATGGAAGTACACAGAGTACATGGGAGTACACAGAGTGCATGGCAGTACACAGAGTACATGGGAGTACACAGGGTACATGGAAGTACACAGAGTGCATGGCAGTACACAGAGTACATGGGAGTACACAGGGTACATGGAAGTACACAGATTACATGGGAGTACACAGGGTACATGGAAGTACACAGAGTACATGGCAGTACACAGAGTGCATGGCAGTACACAGAGTACATGGGAGTACACAGGGTACATGGAAGTACACAGAGTACATGGGAGTACACAGAGTGCATGGCAGTACACAGAGTACATGGGAGTACACAGGGTACATGGAAGTACACAGAGTACATGGCAGTACACAGAGTGCATGGCAGTACACAGAGTACATGGGAGTACACAGGGTACATGGAAGTACACAGAGTACATGGGAGTACACAGAGTGCATGGCAGTACACAGAGTACATGGGAGTACACAGGGTACATGGAAGTACACAGAGTACATGGGAGTACACAGAGTGCATGGCAGTACACAGAGTACATGGGAGTACACAGGGTACATGGAAGTGCACAGGGCACATTTGAGTACACAGAGTACATAGGAGTACACAGAGTACATGGGAGTACACAGAGTGCATGGCAGTACACAGAGTACATGGGAGTACACAGGGTACATGGAAGTACACAGAGTACATGGGAGTACACAGAGTGCATGGCAGTACACAGAGTACATGGGAGTACACAGAGTGCATGGCAGTACACAGAGTACATGGGAGTACACAGGGTACATGGAAGTACACAGGGCACATTTGAGTACACAGAGTACATAGGAGTACACAGAGTACATGGGAGTATACAGGGTACATGTGAGTACACAGAGTACATGATAAATACATACATATATACCAGCCAGTAATACTTAAATATGGAAAATATGGAATAAAGTAAACTTCTCAGTGTATATACACTGAGAGACATAAACTTCTCAGTGTATATACACTGAGAGACATAAACTTCTCAGTGTATATACACTGAGAGACATAAACTTCTCAGTGTATATACACTGAGACATAAACTTCTCAGTGTATATACACTGAGAGACATAAACTTCTCAGTGTATACACACTGAGAGACATAAACTTCTCAGTGTATATACACTGAGAGACATTAACTTCTCAGTGTATATACACTGAGAGACATAAACTTCTCAGTGTATATACACTGAGAGACATTAACTTCTCAGTGTATATACACTGAGAGACATAAACTTCTCAGTGTATACACACTGAGAGACATAAACTTCTCAGTGTATATACACTGAGAGACATTAACTTCTTAGTGTATATACACTGAGAGACATAAACTTCTCAGTGTATACACACTGAGAGACATTAACTTCTCAGTGTATATACACTGAGAGACATAAACTTCTCAGTGTATATACACTGAGAGACATAAACTTCTCAGTGTATACACACTGAGAGACATA